TCTTCTTCTTCCCCTCTCCCCCATTTCTCTCTTTGCCTCTGTTTCGTCACCGTCGCTGCAATTTGCAGCGGCGATAGATCTGCAGCGGCGATAGATCTAAACCCAACTCTGACTCTTTCGCCAATCTCTCGCTCTCTCCCTCTATATATATTTTTTCTCTTCTTCTTCTTCTTCTTCTAACATTCCCTCCTACCGCTGAAACTCGTTTCAATTAGTAGAAGAAGAAGAAGAAGAAGAAGAAGAAGAAAAAGAAAATGAGAAGAACGTAATTGTGTCCATGCTTAGTCATTGGGGCAGACATATCGGGAGTTTCAATCGACCCTTTTGGAATTTTTGCCAGACACATCAAGAAGCTGAGAAGCCCAAAAAGACCTATAAGCTTCACTTGTAGCTTATCAAATATAGGCCACTCTGGGCTTTTATGGTCTTTTTATAGTTTTGTCTTCTAGTCTAGAAGGATTTTATTAGCCAAACAGAAAAAGACCGTTTTTGGTCTATTGAGCTTCTAAAAGCCCATCAGATCTTTCAAAAAGATTTGCCAAACAGGGCCTTAATTTAGGTGGAATTTTAAGTCTTCATAAACTTCTTTGAGAATTAGAATGATAGGTTAAGTTTTTGTTGATAAGACATTCTCCATTATATGTTGATTGAAGCGTGAGCTTCAAAACCACACAAATCCTCTTTTGGGGTAGAAGGGATTATAATAGGCTTAATACAAAGCCAACTATCTAGAGGGACCAAATTTTTAATAAGAACATCCCTCCAAATGTTTCTATCACGATCAATAACACTACTCATAGGTAAATCCAAATTAGAGATATCCACAGGATTCACCCTATCCAGCAGAGGGGAGTGGCTTATCAATGATCTTTATATTCTACAATATCCCATGCAATTGTTGGCCTGTCTTCGTGAGTGGGCATAGAAGATGATGAAATTGGATCTATACACATTGATTCAGCTGGTTAACTAATGCGAGTTTGTCTGATTTGGTTCAACCATTCATAATTACAAATTTAGGTTATTATATTAATTCAACATTAATTTTAAAATTAACTTTTGTTTATTTAAAATATATTTAAATTCCATTTAAATATAATAAAAAATTAAAGCAAATTAATACAAATTTATTGACTATGATGCCGGAAAGATATGATATGGAAAAAACTTATAACCAATCAACTGGCATCATAAAAATTATAAACAATTAGGTGATTTTTCATCAAATTCACAAGGGTTTTAATTGGTCAAAGCCTTTCAGGCATTATTGATTTTTCCTAATAAAACTTAATCAATTTATCAATGTTTTAATATTCTCATTTTCATTATTAACTTAAAATTAAATTTTATTAGTTTAGATTTCATTTAAAAATAATAAAAACTATTAAAAAGTTATATAAGAATAACTAATAAAAATGAAACTTCATAAAACTAAAACCATTCAAAAATAACATAAATTCGTAAAAATTTATAAAACTAATAAATTTTATTATTTAAAATTACTTTTATTAATTTAAAATCAATTTTATTTCCATTTAAAATAAGTACAAATAATAAAACTACCAAAAATAATAAAAATATTATTTTTAATTAATTTTTAAAAATTTAAATGGAAAATAGTTAAAAGCCTTGAGAAGCCTATTCAAATTACTATGTTTTTATTTGCAATCAGGCTCCTACTTAAGGATGCCAACCATATCCTTTATAATTTACACATACAAGTAACTAAGCCAATATATAAAAATGCCTCAATGTTGCAATGTCAAAGGGTCAAGTTTAATATGGGTAGCAGACCAAAAAAAGTTTAATATTTAATATAGGTTCATTCATGGTTTTTAAAACCGAACCGGACAGGGCACCATTTTTTGGTTTGGCAGTTCAACCGTCTGGGTTGAACTATTTGACCCGTGACGTCATAAATAAATAAAAAACAAAAAAAATACTTATATATAATAAAAAATACCATAGAAATTTAAATAAAATACAAAAAATACATAGAAAAATACAGGAAAATGAACAACATATGAAAAAATAAAAATATCTAAATATAAAAATAATAAAATACAGAAAAAATTCCAAAAAATACAGAAAATTTTCCAAAAAATATAGAAAATTTTCCAAAAAAATATAGAAAAAATTCCAACTATAGTACTTAGATCCTTTGGCCTACCTAAGCATCCATGCCACAAGAATCTGTAGTCTAATAACCAAAAACCCAAGGCCCTAACGCAAGGCAGCTTGGCTCCATCTTGCCTTGGGGTAGTCTAATAATCTATAGTTCTGTAGAGAACTGTAGTTCCAAAAGACCTGTAGTTCTGAATTTCCAATCAGAAACCAAAGAGATATGTCTGGAATGGTTGGGCGGTTTGAAAAATTCTATTCTTTCCATTCTAAAATGCTCAGTCAGTAATGGTTATAGAATCGGATGAACTCCTAACTTTAGATAAGACTTCCCTACAATTTACATATATGCAAAAAAGATGTTTGAAATTAAGCATCTATGGAGTTACCGAGTAAAAAATGCATCATTTTTAATTTTTTATTCAAACATATTTTGTTTGTAATTAATCAACTTATCGTCTGCTGCTCCTAATTATAAAGTATTCACTAAAAGCCTCTGCCTAACAGGTCCAAAGCAAAATGATGAACCAAATGAAGAACAAACAAGGGTTGATGAACCAAATGAAGGAAAAAAATTCAAAAAATCAATTAAATCACAAAAAATTAGAAAAAAAAAATTATACCTTCAGGGTTTCACCGTCTGTGGGCTCGGGTAGTCAGGCTTGGTCGCAGGCAAGTTGCCGCTACAAGTCTACAAGTGCTGCTCCAAGAAGTTTGACAGTGGGCTTGCTTGCCAATGCCCAATGCCGAGTGTCGAGTGCCGCTGCAAGCTTGCCATCCGCCGCTGCAAGTGTTGGTGTTTAGTGAATCTCTTCGCCGTTGGATGCCGCTGCAAGTGCTGGGATGAGGGTGACTCTTTTCGCCGCTGCAAGCTCGCCGGTCGTCGTCAATGTGTATTGCTGTTGGATGCCGGAGGTAATGGCCGCCACAAGTGGTAGGGTGTGAGGGTTGAGATGATTGAGGAGTGAGGAGGGAACTCGGGAAATAACCCTAAAGCTAAAGGGAAAACCGAATAAGGGATTCGAATTGGTTGGGATATAATAGGTATTTTTTTGTTTTTTTTATTTAAAACATTAAAAATAAAAATATTAACCCGCAAACCGCTGCCCAGGTCAAACGGTTTAATGGTCCGACCGCCTGGGTCAGCGCTTTTCTGACTTTTTCAACGTTTTTTAACAAAATCCAATTTTTAATAAAACCAGACCCGGGTGGCTGACCAATTACCAGTTTTTCCGGTCCGACCGTTCGATCCGATCCGATTTTGAAAACCATGGGTTCATTTCAACCCAAAATCTTGGAATTCAAAGGGGAGATGTTCCCATTGAATTCAAAGTTTAATATAGGTTCATTTCAACCCACAATACCTGCCATGTCTCAGTTATACTCCCATTGAATCGCTTTGTACCATGGTCCCTAGTCAGGCCCAATAGTGTTGACTTCATGGTAGCTTAAGTGGATCCAACCTGAGTTGGGCTTATTTAGGCATTGCATAATGTGAGCCCATCTGACCTTTTACAATCAATATGTATGCATACCATGTATCAAGAAACCTTGGACTGATCAACTCAAAGCCTCAAACGAAGCATAACTGTAAAATATCGACAAGAAAGTAGGGCCTTAATGCACTGGATATTAGTACAATCCGATCCAAGTTCAACATAGGTCTATTACAAATCGACCAGATCTTATTGAGCCATTGAACCGTTCGACCTGTTTAAATTGGTTTTAATTCACATTGTGTCCAATATAAACCTGGTATATATTTTAACTTCTGTCAATGGATCGGATATTAGTTCAATCTGACCCAGTCCGATATAAATCTATTATAGATGGACCATGTCCAATCTAATCCAATTAATATTTTGTAGTTTGAACCATTAAGTCTGGAGTGGCTCAATTTAATATGTTTTATCGTGGTTTTTGAACCTCCGGGAGGAATCCTCCCCCTCCCTTGGGAATGAAATCCCATTCCAGCTGATTTTAATTTTCATTCCTATTCCTGTTCGAATCAAACAGATTGTAAGAATAGACCATTATTCCAATTCCAATACCAAACGGACCCTCAGTAGCCAAGATTATACACACCATGTCCATACGACTAGCATACTCCAAATTGAAATCATGTTAAGCTCCTAAGTTTTCCCCTGGAAGAAGATTTTTGCATCTTGAGTCCTCCGACCCACCACTAGGATTAAATTGGGATTCATAATGCATTTTTATGTTAATTCATGAAACAATCATCGATACAACACTTTGATTGACAGTCAGAATTTGCTCCAAATCAATTCCAATTTTCCAATTTCAGGTTCTAAAAGAATCCAAAGGTAGCGTATAGCATCTAGAGCTCTGATCATTGAATAATGTGATGCACTTCACTTTTGACTTCACACAAGCAGATTGTTCAGGGTTCAGCAGGTGCAGACTCCTCAACAATGAGTACTGAAATTGGTCAGGTCAAGTCTGATGCCACAACATTCATACAGGGAAGAGGGAACTGATGGAATATGTCACAATGGGGCAAATCTTTGGACGACAGATTTCTCATAAGATGGTTCAAGAAGAGGCAGAGACTGTAATTAGGAATTACAGGGACCTGACTGGTCACAGCAAAGAAGCTATAGAGAAACTAGCAGAAATAAGCAAGGATCCTTAGAATTAGAAGATTTTGTTTTTCCATTTTGATGCCAAAGTTCATTTAGAGTTTCAACAGAATCTCAAGTGTCAAGCAGTGGAGGAAGACCCATTTTGTACTGCAACCACCATAGAAACGTGCTATATTAAATGGAATAAAATACTAATGAAGGCATTTTGCACTGAGAACTTAATCTGTCGAGGCCTCAGGGAAGCACACCATCTTTTCAGCCAACCAAATCTCAAGATACAAAACTGGTGTGATCATCTAAACTTCATTTAGAACAGAACATATGCTATCCACACATTTAGGGTTTGAAACAAGCATATTCATATTCACATATAAGACAAACATGATAACATTAAGGGTAGTCCAATGCAGACCACCCACTTCTCTGTTTTTCCTTTTTTTTTTTCTTTTTTGTACACTGTAAGCCAAATATACATAGCTAAGGGAGAATTAAGACCTAAGTCATGATGATCATCATAAAGAATTAGATGAAGCATAAGGACCTATCTGTACATAATTGGTGGACTTACCAGAAATCATCAACTGCCACTGCCGTAGATGGATAAGGATCATCATCTTCTTCCTCTTCCATCTCTGCCTCTGGTTCTCCGGACCCAAATTCATCTGATTCAATGTCAGCAAGGTTCTTCAGGTCAACTACAGAGAGTTCATCAAGGCGCCTCACGACCAAGTCTGCAGCTCCAAGCTCATACACGGGATGCTTGCTTGCCACAGCCACGCACTTCATCCGAGAATCATGTGCGGCCTCCACCGTCGAGTTGGAGTTCCCAAACACGATGCACCGCTCTGGAATGAAGTTGAGAAGCTGAGCTGCGTACACAAACATTTCAGGGTCAGGCTTCCCTCTGTGTACATCCTCCGCCGTGACAATCACATTGAACAACCCTTCAATTCCAATAGCTCCGATCGCGAATTCAAGAGTCTTCCTCGGACGGGTAGAAACCAAAGCCATCGGAATCTTGTAGTTCATCAGAACATTGACGAAGTCTTGTGATCCTGCACGCAACCTATAGATCCCACCCTGCAAACCCTGATATATCTCCTCCTTTCTCAGAGCCATTCTTCTGAGCTGCGCTGGATCTCTCGACCAACAGAGAACTTCAGAGAGTGCTTGTTCATTCTTCATACCTTCTATTCTCTTGAGGATGAAAGCTGGAGGCGGAGATTTTCCCTCTTCCTGGGACAGAACCAACCATGCCTGTTTCTCAATATCAGGATTATCTTCGATAATCACTCCTTCCCATTCGAAGATTGCACCCAACCATCCACATCCCATTCTTTCCTGTCGAAGCAACGGATTGTGAAGCGAGGGATTATCGGCCTTGTTTGGAGGCGGCCACAACCCTTGCTTTTGAAGTGTATTAGTATCAACGGAATACCTCCAATTCCGAGGTATTCTCTCTTCGTCTCTGGGTGAATATGCCTCCTTCGTCAGTTCCATTGCGAGGGCTTTAATTGAAGAGACCCCAACTCTGCCAGCTCCCCACCTTTCAGTTCTCCATGGAGTTGAAGATGAGGTAGAACAGATAACTCGTCTACCAACGAAATTCGTCGCCGGGAGCAGACAGAAGTCCAATAGTCTTCTTCTGTTCGAGCCATCCCTGGCGGGAGATCCTTGACACAAGGGACGGTGCGCAAGAAGGGAAGTTGTCGCGATTGATTCCACCATTCTTGTTATATATTTCCAGAAACCCTCACAAAATAGTTGTGAAATTCAGCTACAAAATCAGATAGAGCCCTAAAACCAACCGAGCTAACCCAATTCCGGCAGACAAATCAACACCAATTGAGGATCCAGAAAGAACAATTAATTTCAACACCCCCACGATTGACAAACCAATGCGATATCACAACCGAATTTTAGTTGAAAATATCCAAATTTTTGCAAGAAATAACGGATTCTTTTCCTTCCGTAAATTATTTGAGCTTCAAAGAGGAGAGAAAATCAGTATTCACCAACAGCAAAGTTACAACTTTAATCCAAAATAATCAAATTCCACCATTGATATCCCGTCCTAAGCTAATTTGAACAAAAACCAGCAACGCCATCCATCCATCCAGAAACAGAAACACCAAATACCCAACCTTTAAATTCAACCCAAAAATATGAAAAGTATAGAAAAAAAGAACAAAAAAAAAAAAAAAACAAAAACCCAGAGTATCTAGTCCAAATATTCACCCAAATTCAGAGAAATTTACGCCTTCAACTGGCTCTAGAATTGCGGAAAACTATTTATAACCAATCCAGCTGTAGAGAAGATGAGAAGCCAACTTCTGTACACGAAAAAAAAGCGTATTTACAGATAATATCTGAAGACGAAAAAAAAAGGAAAAAGAAGGAAAGAAAAATAAAATAATAAAGATAAAGAACCTGATGAAGATCCAACCGTCAAAAAAATATCAGACGAAGATGAGAGGAGAAGCGTTGAACACGGCAGAAGAAAGGGAGAGACCAGATTCTGGGGAAGAATGGATTAATCTCCCCCTCTTCTCGAACTGGATTTTGTGGCCCAAAGCAGCTATAGGCTACCTTTATAACCTCCCGAGATGTACACGTTTCGGTTAAACTATACTTCATACGACTAGAAGACTTGATATGATTAGTAGTTTGACACGTTTCTCTCCCCTGCTGACATTCACGGCAATCGACGCTGCGTCCGACGTTTTATGTGGAAAAGTAATTCCGGGGTGGCGTGTTGTAGTGGAGTATCTCCCGTTTCGTAGTCGCAGACTCGTAAGCAAGTATATCCTTATCGTAGAGGACTCCGAATCCTCTACAGAGATTACGTGGCATATAACAATTGGTTTAGTAGTACGAGTAGAACAGTAGACGATCTAAACTCCAAGTCTCCAACTAGAATAGATGATTGTCATGGATTAGAACAAAACAGACGGTTAGTGGCACCCGACCCAGATAGGGCCCCCACAGTGCCCCTGTGGCCTTACCTACATCCGGATCTTTTTGTAACCAAGAGTTGCCATAACCCGTAAGCCAATCACCTAATGAAATCTAATGGTCCGATCAATTTCCACCATTGGATGGTAGTGATGTGCAATGTTATGAGTTATGACTATATCGTGGCAACTCTGGATCCGATAGGATAGAACCCGACAATGAATCGGGTCCATCCGGTAGAATCAAATCTACCGAACTCTGGTTCAGGTTCCGAGTTTTATGCCCCAACCCAAATCGACTATAATTAATAGGGAAAATCTATGATATAGAAAGGATATGATATGAAAGAGTTTTGACCAATCAAAACTCACCCATGAATATTGATAAATAGCACCTTATTTGCTTATTTGCTTTCACGTTCAGTTATTGTGCTTTGATTTGAAAGAAAAAATAGGGGAAGAAAGAGAAATATGAGAAAATCTTTACAAACATTATATAAATTTTTTTATGTTTCTCTTCCTTTTCTTACCTTTTCCTTCAAACCAAACATCACCTAAAGGGAATGAATGGGAATTTCCTTTTTCTAAGGAGTTTCTATAGGCTTCATTTGGTTTGTGGGAAGATATGGCTGGGATGGGATGGGATGGAAAGGTGTAAAAATTTTCCATTGTTTGATTTTAGATTTGGGAAAAACACTGTAATGAAGAGGAAGCCACTGTGGGGTGCTCTGTTTCACAAAGAGGATGACAAACAGAAGAAGAAGATGTGGGCTCAAAAGGGGAGGTAGCATAAGACGAAGAAAGAGAAGCCACCCCCACTGCTCTGCTTCTAGGTAAATTTGCACTGATGCAAAACCATGGCAGTACAAATGATTTTAGTGTAAATTCTGACTTATTTTTGTTTCAAATTTTAACTTATTTTGTTTGATTGAAGCAAATTAAGACATAAAACAGAATAAAGTAAAATCCAAAACAAAATTAAACAAGAGTTTACATTTTTTACATTTGCACTCCCATGCATTTCTATTAGTACAAATAAATTTGCACTGCAACCAAACACAACCCTACAGTCTAGATGGCCAAAAGACAATGAACTTTTAAGGTCTTATCTTTAAAGATCTAAACAGTTTGATAAATACCCTACCCCTAATCTGCCATGCCCTGCCAAGCTGTTAAGCGAAAGACTTTAGGCTCATAAGGACAGGAATTTCATTTGAAGCTTCCAGGATTTTGGATTTTTTATGAACTTTTTAGAACATAGGTCTTTCCAAAAATCTTTCATTGCTAAGTGTAAAAAGACCAAAACTTTGGTCGTTCAAGCACTGAAAAGTCCAAAAGATCACACCTAAAGACTTAATTGTCGAACCCTCATTAATTATAATGGGATGATAAGGATAAAACATTAGTCACTTGATTAATTAAACATACCATTTCAAAAAACAATTCAACTTAAAATCTTAAGGCTGTGTTTGGTTGAGGTACAATTTTATTTATATTAGTGTAAATGAAAAAAAAAATGCAAATTCTCATTTCATTTTATTTCGGGTTTTACTTTATTCTGTTTTATATCTTAATTTACTTTATTTGTATTGCAGTCAAACAAAAAAAATCTAAAATAGGTCAGAATTTACACTCAAATCATTTATATTGTTATGATTTTGCATCAGTACAAATTTATTTGCATTGCAACCAAACACAGCCTGAAATATATAGGTTTTTATGCTCAAACACAGCCTGAACTTAGCAACCACACGCAAAAGTACTATGGGCTGGTTGAGACTTTGAAAAATCAGGCCAGACCCAGAAATAGCAACCCCTACTTTGGACGGCTTTAACTTTTAATTATGCTTTTCCATTCAAACTGTGCTACAGTCTACATTTGGTGCCGAGTGCCGACACATGGAGCCGTGGAAAAGCAAAGCAAAAGACGGCATTTCATCTCGTGGGGGGGTTCATATATGCATTTGAACGAAGCGATGGTTACAGGTTTATAGCGATGGGACTTGCTGGAACGATCATAGGTCACAACACAGGTGCTGTTCTTACTTCCTACTATTATTGTCATGTGAACCACAGAAGAAGATTCCGAAGCACAGATGATTCCAGTTCTAGTGGGCCCCTGTGCGATATAAACCTGGTTCGTTCTTGTTTGTCCAAGCCCATGTTCTACGACTACCACAGGTTTAGTAGACCATTCTACCATACCGGCCGTCCGGCCCCCAGAACCTGAGAACTGGGCCAAGCCGAGTAGACAAATTTCTGATGACTTAGTTGAAGCCACGACGTTATTTAGTGTGTCGGTTTGTGGTTGTTTGGGGCTTTAGGCTTTAGGGGGCCTATATCATTGTTATCAATTCACCAAATTACTCGCAGATTTTATGTACTTTTCAAAAACCTGCTACTTCTGAGATTTTTTTAAAGATTAGATAGAAATTCATTAATTATTCAAAAGATTTGGGGTAATACACATATATACATAAAATTGGTAAATCATATAATAAATTACAAAAAAGGGTGGTTTTTTTCATTCCTAAATTTTAAAATTAAACTTTATCTTACACTAACATGTATTTTGCTGATTTATTTTATTCTTAAAAATGAATGAACTAGATACCAACTTTTTTCCAGTATTTTCAAAACTGGACCGGACCGTATGGTCGGAGCGAAAAAATTGGGAACTGCTGCTTCACCCCAGACTATTTTTTGGTCAAAAACTGTTGATTTGGTCAGTAAACCACTGACATGGGTGGTCGAACTATCGATCTGGGCAACAGTTTTTGGCTGTTTTTGTTTTTTTATTTTTATTAGAGCGGGCTGTCCATTTGATTTGAACGATCAGACTATTTGACCCGAGAACAGACCCAGAATGATTCCTTGTCCAGTCTGGTTTTTAAAACCTTGCTTTTTTTCTACACCCCAAACTTTTCATATTCCAAAATTCGAATTGCTAAGCATAGTTTACATCAAAGGAATCAATTACCAATTATAAACCAAACAAGAGAAAGGGGAAACGGGAAGAAATGAAAGAAAGAAAGCTCTAGAGTATGTCAGAACTCTGAAGTCGAATATCACTACACGTCAGGACTTGCAAAGAAGGGCCTTGTTTAGGCTGGCACTTTTCTTTGGCTCTCCCCCGTTATGGTTGCTCCCAGCCTTAGAAAAGGACCTACAGTTTATGTTACAATAAGCCAGTTCTCAGTCTTAATTCAGGCTTAGCTTTTCTGCTTTTGGATTTTCTTTGTGTTTCTCTTGTGTTGTTCTTGGTTCTTTCCTGAATTGTTGTGTTCCTTGCCTTTTGTATTAATGAATATCATCCTTTTTACCAATAAAAAAAACGAGAACTTGGATTGGTCCAGCCTGGTGAAAGTGAAATCCAATCTTAGTACGGAGATCCACATAATTGTTGATTTGTTGGTTAAAGCAAGCATAGAATGGAATTCATGCTTTTGGCTCAATTTCAGTTCAGGTTCCATTTACTTCAGCCTGTTCAACAATTGACCCTAACCTATTAGTTGTTAGGAAATATCTCTCTTATTGCTTGTGATGTGTTAATGCTCTGCCCATGTTTCATTTATAACAACACCCACCTTTATGGCATGAAGGCTGATCAATAGAATAAACGAGCTAAATTAATCTACTTTTCCATTAAATGGTGTTCAATGATCAATCAGTTGGTGGCAATAATATGTAATTTGTATACGTCATGATTAGAGAGCAAGACACAAAAATTGGATACTACCTTTAATCCAAAAAGCTTAAACTCTACATTGTAGGTCAATCCTTGTTATATAAATCTCATGCTTTTTTAATATGAGATCCATCAACTCACACGTGCATGCCAAAAATCTCTCCCACCTCCACAATCCACATGAGTCTTTTATTATCAACATCAAACACCCCCTAATTGAAAGTTATCATATCACCAACTTTGACACACACACGCGCCAAGAGCTCTTTGTTCATGATCATAGGAAACTAACACTAAACTACCAACTGCCAAAGGAAAGTCATCACCATTCAATATTTGGTGTGTCAAGCCATATGAATCAGCAATGGCTCACTTATCGAATATACTCCACCATGAAGTCATAGGAGTCACCAACTGCTCTCACCAATGCCTTTTCCATGGCAAAAGGCTTTGCATGGGACTATGGGAGTCACCATAAGCTTTGATACCACCTCTTGGGAGAACCAGGAGAGTCACTCAAACCGAAGAACATGTACATATATATATGGCTTACACACAAAAGCTGAACACCACCATCAGCCCAAGAGCTTAAGTTATTAGGTTGTGGGTCAATTATTGTAATATTTGCTTCTTTATCCCTTTTTAATGTGGGACACATATGAGTTCCACTCACATGTGCATCCCAACAAATTTAGTAAAAAAAAGTCTTGATGCATAAAACTGACGCACGGAGATGTACAAATACTTCCGTGGAGACAATAACAGGGTCCAAATTGAGACAAACATAGCGGCAGTGGCTCAAGCAGGCAGCATCATTACCAATTTGCTACATTGCTATCTTAAAGTAAGTCCTTGCTAATAATTACTCCAAATCTACAACACAGTTCAAGGGTAAAAATTACAAAGTAAAACTCCCTAAATGGCAAGTTACAACTGATTTTTGAAAGTTTTACAGTAAAACTGCTACAACAAAGAAGATGTTCGGTACAGTTTAGTTTATGAAGTAACCTCTGCAGATTCCTTCAGATTAACGTTGAGGCCTGGGAGGGGCAAGATTTGTATATTATACATTTCTAAATATGGGATGGGCTTCAATAGCTTGAGCTAGCTCAAACTGCCAAATCTGCGAATGAAAAAAGACTACTTTGCAGCTCGGCGTGACTCTTTTGTTACCCCATAATAGACTGGTTTACTGCCTGGATACATTATAAAGTTCCAACCAAAGACTGATCCACCTACAACATATGTCCCTTGGATTCGGCCATCTTCAACTTTTTTCTTCTCAGAGTTAGTTCCTCCAGAAGGAGGCTTCTCTTCAGGTGATTTCTCTAGAAGCGACTCTGGTTGAGAATGTTCTACCTGCTTCTCTTGACGCCTCTCCAGGGGTCTTTGCTCATGCCTGCTTTCACCTGGCAAAGGTTGACCTTCTGTTTGATTCTTACACTTCCCCATAGACACTGTTTCTAGTTTCAATTGTTTATATAAATCCATCATGAGCTTCATCTCTGCAAGTAACAAATTTTAATTAATTATCAAACTTAACTTTACAAATTCAAGCTTGCCTAGAATGTTACAAGCTGAGGCAGACTCCAGCTAAGCCAAACCTCCTGGTGTTTGGTTGGACACAGGTTCGTGTGAATATGCTTGGTGCCCTAATCCATGCACAAGAGTTTCTCCACCCACTAACATTGTGCATGGCCAGGTTTGTGTATCCTCTAGAAACAGGTCAGGAAACATTTTGTCAAATTTTAAGAATATGGTGTGTACAAAAATTTGATCAAAAGTTATCTCTTGTACCACCACCACCATATCTCACTCCCCGCCCCTGCTTGTGTCGCTTAATTTTAGGAGGTACATGTTTATCCACCCTTGTTTTTAAGAGGTAGAAGAGAAAAATACATCTCTCTCCTAACCTCTGTATGCATGACTCACCAATACAATCTCACCTGCAAAAAAGTAAAACTCATATACTGAATATTTTCCCCAAATTATGCTATTGGTATTTTTCATTAGCAGCAACATTAAATAACACTAAACCTATATCCATGTTCTTTTTACAAAGAATAGTATAGTATATAAACATGTATCTAAGTAGGTATGCATGTATCAATTTCTCAGGAGTGTTTAAATGCAGCCACTCTTTAGACACTCCCAAATCATATTCAACTTTGATGCTCGTGTAGTTTCACTCTATGTAAGTCACTTGGGCTAATATATTTTCACTTGTGTTTTTTTAAGCATTTGACTATGATACTGGAAAGACATGATACCAGAAAAACTTGCATCATCAAACAGTATCATATAAGAGGTGACCAATCAGGTGGTATTCATCAAAATTCACGGGGTGATTTGATTGGTCAAAGCTCTTCCGGTACCATGTCTTTCCGGTATCACAGGTTTTCCCTTTTTAAATGGACAACAGTCACTTATTTCATTATTGATATAAAAATGGTTATTAACCTTTTCATGTTATCCCTCATGGTCATCTAACTTTTATTCTTTTTTTTCAACAAGTGGGTAAGAAACCAATTAAAGACTCTGGAGGACCACATTGCTAGGAGTACAAGTTGGGTACCCAATTTGAAGAATTTACACAACATCAAGCCCAGACCCTTGGGATAGGCCCACTCATATTATCCTCAACCTGAGCCAATCCAAGTTGCACACCTACATATTGCAGGTTTTAACAAATCCACCCAATGCATAAACTTGTAATATTACTAAACATTAGAGCCTGAGCACAAAATTGGGACACCATTTAAGTTTGAAGTCAGCTGGGTCCATATGCACCTTGCCAATTAAAGAATTAATATGAAAACAAAGAAAATCATGTAAATTTTGTGAACATCATAACTACTTGCACAGATAAGAATCAACATCCTAGAGTTGATTTTTTAGAGCTTACGTTTTCGAATTTCATGAGCTGCTTTGCAATTTCTGAAGTCAGGAGTTTGGAGAACCTACAAGAAAACAAAAATCTTAGGCTTTTAAGACGCTCCAACGCTGATGTAGAAGTGAAATAAAACCAACATGACCGAGAAGATATAAGGCATAATTGTGGATAACTTTGGCAGTATGGAATGTGATAAGAAGAGCTCTATTTAGTTGAGTTGCTTGACGCATGAACAAAATATAAGACACAAAGCTGGCAAGTCATTTTGCATAAACATATGCATAAAGAACATATTTATAAAAGTCATCATTCAAAAATAATTTTTAGAACACCCTAGAGGGAAAATAACATATTTTTGGAAAGAAATAACAATGTTTGAGCTCTACTCAAGAATTTGGTAAATGCAATTCAAAAGTCTCCAAATGCCCTTTGTAAAGTACATGGAATTAGGTGCTGCTCCACTTGCAATAAGGGACCACCAGAAAGTCTCCATAAGCAACTGGCACAGGGATAAAAAAGACATGACCACAAGAATTTGGTAAATGCAATTCAAAAGTCTCCAAATTCCCTTCATAAATACATGGAATAAGGTGCCTTCACACTTGTGATAAGGGACCTCCGAAACATCTCCATAAGCAACCAACACAGGGACAGAAAAGACATCACCACAACAATGTTGACTTCCCAGCACAGGTATTTCCCATAAGACACTAGTTCACCTTTACAAATTTTTAGAGAAGAGGGACTTCACCCAAAAAAAGAAAAAAAAAAACTGTATTGTGGCTTCCCAACGAATCCTCCTAAGAAGTTTCACAGTGCAGCAACAGTTATGTGATGCACCGTAGCATTGTCGCTTACATCACAGGCCCTCACACCTACTTACTAGTCCCAGATCCAACGAAATCAGGATTGCCTTTCCAAAGGGGAAAACATCCCTCCTTCCCCAAGGAGACCTCTATAAATAGGGGACCTCCAAAGATTCCTACACACATCCATTGCATCAACATGTGTGAACTCTGCCTCTCTGAAAGCCTTAGCCTCCCTCACCCTCCTACACACATCCATTGCATCAACAGGTGGACATCCCAGGTGCCACACACCTCCCACCACCACCCTAATTATTCAAAACCACAATTTAAGGCATTTGGTCAAGCACCCTTCCACTACCAACATCCAAAAAGTTTGAATCAAGTAGAGAGAAAAGAGCTTCAATGTATTGTCTTGGTGACCTGAAACTGCATTGCTTTTGTGGGGTCACATAGACAGCCAGGTGAGCTTAAAACCTTCCTTGGATGTTCTAAACATCCAGTATCCAAAAGAAATAAATGGCTGTCTAATTTCTTACAAGATCATTCATTTCTGAATTCTACCAAACAGTTGTTGATACTTTAAGAAGGCCTGAATAATCAACTACCAAAGAGTTGGAACTTATTTTAGGGCATCTCTTCCAAATGTACCCAGTAGTATGTACTTTTTAATAGAAAATCAAAGCTGAATTTAGTTCATCAATAATTTTTTTTTATCAATAACAAATAACTTTCATCAAATTAGAAAAAATAGGTACAAAGAGGGGGAGATAAGCTGTCTTAACTCCCCCAACGGAGGCTAGAGCCCCCAAAAGAAAACAAGAAACAGAATTAAAAATGAGCCCAAAACAGAGATTCCCTAGTCACCCCTTGCTTGGCTAACCCATCAGCAAACAAGTTAGCAGATCTCTTGACCCAACTGTATTTTATTTCCTTAACCATCCTACTACCACCTCCGAATCACCTTCAACTACAAGCCTCCTTATATTCCTTTCTTTTGCCCTTTGGATTCCTTCTAAGTTCATCAATAACTATTTTGCACAATAAAAATATTTATCAAAGCAAAATATGGTTATAAAAATAGGACCTTGTCATGTTTTCTACTGATATGGTTGTAATTGATTAACTAAGATTGGAAGTGGAAATCTCAACTAGAAAAACATGTTATTTAGAGCTCTACCAAAACCCATGGTCTCATGTAAGAGAGGGTAGATGCTATTTAGAACTCCATTTAAACCCAGAATCCATTTGGAGAGAGAGACATTACTTAGAATTCAAATCAATGATCCTGTCCCACATAAATGCAATTGAGATGAGCACCAGTCATTTTTCACCATTTTAACCCCATATTAGAGTTTTTTTATTACTCCCATAGGTGTTTTGCAGAATGTAACAGAATGGCAAAATAGGATTGATATAGCCAACCCCATACAATTGGGACAAGGCTTAGTTGATGATTATAATGAGGAGGAGGTGTTTTACACTGCAAGACACAAGAAAAACTGAAGTTTCTGAAACAAAACATTTTCCGCCTCATTTTATCTCAAACCAAATACAATCTAAGTAGCTAACAATTTCTTTTTTTTTTTTGATGAATAAGCAGATTTTATTAAAAAAGAGATAAAAGATACAACTGATTAGGGAGAGGCACAAGCTGCAACCTCTCCCAACAGACTAAAAAGAATGAAAAATTACAACTGTGCCCAATACAAATGTTCCCTATTTGCCCCTTGCTTGGCTAAGCTGTCAGCCATAGGCCATAGCATTAGCTGATCTCCCCACCCATTGTATATTTACACATATTCCTCGTCAGCCATTTGAATTTTTTCAGTTCATTTTTGTAACACCAGACTACATTCTCCAGGTTCTGCAACCACCCCACCACCACCTTAGAGTCACCCTCTATTAGTAGCTGTTTTTTTATTGGAAACCTTCTATTAGTAGCTGTTGTACTCCTAACTATACCAAATTGTACCCCTTGGAGAGCAGCTAGTAATTCTGCCCTAGAGGAGTCCCCCTCACCTAGAGGACCGGAGTATAAGAGAACCACATTACCACTTTCATTCCTTATAACCCCTCCCATTCCAGAGGGGCCTGGGTTACCTTGACTGCTACCATCAAAATTTAATTTCATAAAACCTTCAGGAGGGGGTGCCCAAGTCATGTACATCTTGTTCTTTCTTGAGGAGCTACTTGCCACTGCTGCTCACTGCCTCCAATGATCATTAAAGGAGAACTTGTGAAATAAATCCACAGATTTCAGCCACAAAATGGCCCTGGGCCAGATGGTCTGTCTAACTTATTTTTTATCAAATGTTGGGACCTTATAAAGCTGATCTGTTGAAGGTTTTCCAGGACTTCCATAGGAATGCATCCTTGCAAAGAAGCCTTAACACCGCCTTTATTTCACTGATCCCAAAATTGGAAGGGACTACAAATCTTAGGGATTTTAGACCCATCAGCCTTTTGAATAGTTTCTATAAAATTCTTGCAAAAGTGCTGGCTGCAAGGATGAAACAGGTGTTAAGTAGTGTAATCTCAAAAAACCAGTTTGCTTTTGTCCCGGGGAAACAAATGCTTGACTCTGTCCTTATAGAAAATGAGCTAATCGATTCAAGATTAAGGGAGGATTCTCTGGGCCTTGTGGTTAAGCTGGATATAAAAAAAGCGTATGACCATGTGAACTGGAGGTGTCTGGATCATGTGCTAGAGAAAATGAACTTTGGTCAGAAATGGAGGAATTGGATCGAAGTGTGTGTTTCCTCTCCCAAATTCTCAGTGCTGATTAATGGTCAATCTGCGGGGTTTTTTGAAAGTTCGAGGGGTCTTAGGCAGGGGGACCCTCTATCCCCTTTGCTCTTCATTTGCATATCAGAACTCCTGTCTCAATTCTCCCTTAAGGCAGCAGCAGCTAATGGTCTGTGGGAAGGTTTTGTTATAGCCCCAGAAGCGGAAAAAGTCAATTTATTGCAGTTTGCCGATGATACTCCCTGTTTCCTTGATGCCTCATCTGATCAGTTGGAGTTATTACTTGGAATTCTTTGCTGGTTTGAAGTAGTCTCAGACCTTAAAGTAAATCTTCATAAAAGCAAAATCATTCCAGTGGGCCCTGTTCCAAATCTGGAAACCTATGCAAGGTTGATGGCTTGCCAGGTGGAATTCTTTCCAGTGAAATACTTTGGCCTTCCCCTAGGAGTTAAGTGTTCTTCTTCTGCTATCTGGGATCCAGTCATTGATAGAGTAAGAAAAAAACTGGCCTCCTGGAAGGCTAAGTATTTGTCTATAGAAGGGAGAGTGATCCTTACCAAAAGTGCACTGGCCAACCTCCCTACCTACTTCATGTCCCTGTTTCCCATTCCAACTAAAATAGTGAAGAAGCTTGAGAAATTGCAGCGAAATTTTCTCTGGAGAGGATGGGAAGAAGAGAAGAAAATGCATCTTGTGAATTGGGACCAAGTTTGTTTGCCCAAAGCAGAAGGGGGTTTGGGCCTAAGAAGGTTGAAGGTGGTAAATTCGGCTCTGTTGAGTAAATGATGTTGGAGGTTTGCTTCAGAAAGATTCTCTTGGTGGAGATCCGTAATTGCCTCAAAATATGGGGTGGATTGGGGAAATTGGAAGTCTCAGGATCCATTCCCAAACTGGGGTTGCTCGGTTTGGAAAGGAATTCTTAAATGTCTTCCTGTGATATATGAAGATGTGAGATTAAAGGTGGGAAATGTTGGTAGGCTGAAATTTTGGAAAGATCCCTGGTGTTTGGACAGATCTTTAGCAGAGGCTTTTCCCCTTCTTTACCAATGTGCAGTTAACCAGGAAATATCAGTGGCGGAGTCTTATGTTTTGTCTAACAATACAGTGGCATGGATTCCTCAGTTTAGAAGAGATCTGTTCAATTGGGAAATAGATGGGGTGCTGCAGCTATTGCAGATATTACAGGAGCAGTCTATAGATATTAATAGTGAAGATGAATGGAGATGGACCTTGTTAAAGCGTGCCGAATAGGGGTAGTTTAGTCTTCTTATGCTTGTTAAGTAGCTTGCTTATGTGGCAGTGTTATTAGAGTCACTCTGCCCCACACTTAAGTAAGGGCATTTTTGTCTTTGTAAAGATCATTAGAATCTAATGAAGATTAAGGGGGTCGACTGTAGAGGTAATCCAACAGATTTCGACA